ATGAAGAAGAAAAAGAAAACCCTAATGCTTGTCAAACTTAAAGCAAACCATGCAAATAAGATTTGGGATCAACATTAAGGATTCAAACCCTGCAATATCAAGTAAGTTATTTTCTAATATATTAAAAAATTATTATGTTAATTTTGTCATTATTGTATGAGAATAATTTTTTTCAATCCATATTACATAAAAAAAATGCAATTCGGGTTATGAAAGTGCTAAAATAACTTTAATGAATAACACTCATTCAAAGACATTTAAATACTTAATTTCAATGTTAGGACTAGATGCAATCTGGACTGAAAAAACATTTATATTGGAGATTTTAATTTCCTAATATTAACTTGCTGATAAAAAAAAAAAAATCCTAATACTACCTGTGGCAATTGGGATACGGTCATCACATAAAGACAGAAGAAATTAAATTCTGCTGAGGACCGAGGATGGTATGCGTGGGGCGAGGAACCTGGGTTTTATTACTAATTGCAATAATATAGAATAATATGTAATGTTGTGGTGCACGTCAGCCTAAACGGTGTTGATTTGGGTGATTCCTTGCTTTTTTCTTTTGTCTTTCTCCTTCAAATTAGAGTGGGAGAAGGTGATTTATATTCACGATCTCAAAAGCAACACACGCACCATGTAACCTAACCTTCTGCAATAGCTTTTCATCTTTCTTTACCCAGCCTGTGTGGATTACGCTCATGTATCCAGTTCCTTCGTGACATTTGATGGTAACCTCTTCAAAATTCCAATGATCAAATTCCTATAAATTGTGTTTGGAAACTTAAATTTGAATTTGATGAGTGTAATTGAAATATATGTATTTAAAATAATATATTTTTAAATACATTGTTTGGATATTTTGAAATACTATACATTTAAAATTGAAATTTTCTATTAAATTAAATCTTCTAGTTATTATTTAAATTTAATAAAGTCAAAGTTAATAATTTCAGTCTTCCAAAATATTATTTAAATTACATCAAGACAAACAAGTTGGATAAAAAAAAAAAGGAACAATGACCTCCACTAATCAATTTGTCATCATATTCTCCATTTTTTGTTCATTTTTTTTATTGTTATACAATATGCAAATTTTGCAAAGATGAATTTATCGAAAGAATTTCACTATGAAAAATAAAAAAACAAAATAGTATTTAAAATGATTATCAACTATGTCCATTAACAAGGTAATTAAAGTAATACTTTTTAATTGCAAAACGAAATAGAAATATGATATTTTTCGTTGAAGACTTTGGACAACTATGTTTATTAACAAGGTAGTTGAGGTAACACTCCTTAATTACAAAATGAAATAGAAATATGACATTCTTCGTTGAAGACTTAGAAGTAAACCACTGAGTTGAGGTTGCAAGTTGAGAAGGAATAGATCCTACATCATACATCATCAACAAAACTAGTCAAACATAGGGAAACCAAGTGTTCAAAGGCCAAAAGAATATATATTCAACAAATGATGTTTCATGATATCCATATTCATTGAAAAACTGAAATGTAATGAGCAAAAAGAGAAATTAATGAGAGCAAAGAAAAAACCAATATTGTGATGATGATGATCGTTTAAAAATAAATAAAACTAGGATGATAGTTAATAAACAAGTTCCCATTAAGGATATAAAGTGATCTCTAATCTACCATAATAGTCTTCAAAAGGAAAAAAGAGGCCAACCAAATAGAGGCAATATATTCATTTTTTATGTTAACCAAAACTACAAATTCTTTTTTTTTTTTAAAAAAAAAAAGCTAAACAAAATACTTGACATGTAGATCCGAATATCAACCAAACAAAACTCACTAAGGAATAGGAAAGACATGTAAAACGTACCATTTTCTTTTGCTATATAAATTGACAGAATTGGAAATCAACCTTTAACTTTCCTATAACCAAAAAAAAAACATTCATTAAAATGTGAGTGGTATGCTTGTCTGCAACATACCATTTCATGTCCTGCCTGTGCCAGAGAAATCAACTGGCTAATAGGATAAGATCAAAGAATTAGATTCCATAAATTAGAAAATATAAAATATAAAAAGGCAATTATGTTTAAATATACAACTTGAACTTAAAAGGAAAGTCAACCAATCATATTTCTTATCATCAGGAAGTGATTTTAGCAAATAAAATTATTCAAAATCACCATTTAATAACAATTGGACTGCCTTGAATGTTTCCTGTTAAGAAAGAGCCCAAACTGTTGATACCACTTCATATATCTCTTGACCACTTGGTTTCTTTTTCAAGTTCATGTACTCCTTGAGTAATGAAGCAATGTCACCAACAATAGCAACCAATGGATCTTTCCTCCGTTTCTTTTTATGGGACTTTATCGTAGATGATGTGAAAGGTTGTGTTGGTGGAGCAGCACATGATATTGAGTACTCTACATCATTTTCATCCTCTCCCATCACTACTTCATAAGCATCTTCAAAAGTTTCAACACCTTCACCGGTTGCTCTATCTATCTCACACAACATCACAATATCATCCCACCTTTCTATCGGTCTATTTGCATATCCATTTGCCTTTCCATTCTCCCGAACATAATCTTTGTATGCTAACATATTATCTGCTATTATAACAATCATCTTCTTTTTTTCATCCCACGGAAACCCACTTTGATGGCTTCTAATTTCACTAATAATAGAGAAATGTTTTCGCCATTGTCTTACTTTATTCTTAACTTGCTCCTTGGTTACATTAACGCTCAATGATTTTGCAAGATAATCCACAGTTGCTTGGTAAGCTTGAGACTTCCAATCTTTATTAGTTTTGAGGCCTTGAGATAAAGAGTCATATAGTGAAATAGCTAAAATATTATCCATTTCCTTTGTCCATTGCATGTAAGTCCTAAAAACACCTTCTCATTGACTTTTTGATTTTCTTTTTGCTCTTGTTAACAATTGAACACATATATGGTTAATTATCTTGAAAGCAGTTTAAGAAAGATAGAAACTGAAGACTTTTTGGTAGTGTTGCTAATATAGGCTCATTTAATTACTCAAATCACAAATAAAAATATGGGTGTCCCATGTCAAGGGAAGCAACAAGTGAACAAATTTAACAAAAAAAAAAAAAAAAGGTCAAGTAAGAAATGTCGAATCAGGCAATGGTCAAAATTTAGTTTCAACCAGTGGCAGTGATCATAAAAGCTCAAGCTCAGTTTCTGCCATTTCAAAGAAAATGAATCTAACATAAATTTTCCACCTAGGAAACATGTCTTTGAGATGTTAAATGGAAGCTCAGTCTCCTTGACAATTGGTACTAAGATTAAAGAAATTTAACAAAAACTTGGATTTATGGCAAAAAATTTTTAATCTACAACAGTCAACAAGCAAAAAATTCAATATGGCAATTGCAAAATAAGTAGGAAATTAGGAAATAAGATTAAAATAACAAGGGTAGATATAGCCAAACAATTTTGCATTAGTACAGAAAATAAGTCAGTTGAGATATTCTTCATTTCATTTGTTGTTAAAATAAAACACATATAACCACCTTGACTTGCTATTAAAGAAACAAAACATTACATACCTGAACTACTTGAAGGAGATTTTTCACTATTTGCATTCATGATCAATCAGTAAAATTAACTTTATGCACTCTATTTTGCTGTAATAAATTAACTATAAAAATTAGTACCTAAAACAAGAAAATGTTAACATAAAACCATCAAGAACATTATCCATCATTAACTAAAAGGAATTTTAACTAGTGAAACAAACTAATATTTCATATTCAAAATACAGTTAAGTATCATATCAGATAGTGAATCATTACATCTTAAGTTCAAAAATTTTAAAAGACTAAATAAGAAAATCTTAATTCCTTAGAGCTCACCAAGCTAGTTATTCTTCAAACATTTCCATAGCTAAATTATCTTTAAATTGCGACCATTCATCAGTAACTCCCAAAAAGGTTATATTATCTCTCTCAACCTCATTTTCAAGTGCAGCTTCTTCAAGCTCTTCATCCACTTCTCTTAGTAAATCTTCTTCCACCATTTCATCTCGTATAAAGTTGTGCAAGATAAAACATGCATTGATGATTCTAATTTGAGTCTTCACCTCATAAAAGCAAGCATGGCGTACAACTGCCCATCTCTTCTTTATTAACCCCAAGACACGTTCAATTGTGTTCCTTGCAGCAAAGTGCCGAAGGTTAAACAACTCCTTGTAATTAGTTGAAGTGTTTCCTCTCTACAAATTTAGATGATATCTAGTTCCTCTATAAGGAGCCAAAAATCCTTGACCATTTGTGTAGCCCAAATCCACAAGACAATACATATCTACATAAAAAAATAATAAAAGAGAACCAAAATTGTCAAAAGTCAAATTTATACAAGGAGTTAAAAATAGTAAAATTAGCTTGAATTAATAACACTTACTTTGTGGAACTTTTAAGTTATTGCATCTGGTCAAAGCATCACGTAAAACACAAGAATCCAATGCGGATCCTCCCCAACCAAGCAGCACATAAGTAAATTGTAAATTAGCATCACAAGCTCCTAAAACATTTGTACTCAAGTTGCCTTTTCTATCTTGATATTCTCCTCGCTTAACAGCAGGTACAGTTATCTTAATAAGGGTTCCATCAAGTACCCCAAGAGCTCCCTTGAACCATTTCCATTTATAATCTACTTCATGAAGGGATACATTGTTTTGTTTAATGTAAAACTTTCCAATTTTCATCATTGCTCGTAGAACAATATGGAATTGTCTACTAATTGTTTCTGATGAACGAGCAAAAATACTTCTGATTGTACTATTTTTAAGGTCATGAGCAAGAATATGCAAGAAAAGTGCTACAATTTCCTTAATTGTCACATATCTTGTGGCCACTAGCCCACCTTTCTCCACTAAAACATCACACAATTTCTTAAATGCTTGCCTAGTAACACAAAGTTGATGTAAGCAAACTTTTTGAAGTTCTCTATACCTATGCTTACGATGATGACAAATAGTAACAAGTATAAGAAAGAACTTCATAAGCAATAAAAAAAAAACTCCATATCTTCTTGTTCATTTTCCTCAATTTGCTCTTGAGGATGTTTACGTTACAAACCATTGTCACCATCAACTATGTTTGCCTATAATAGTTTGATTTACATTATTATAAAAAAGCAAAATATATTTTATTATAAGCTAACAAAAGAGACATGAAAAAAAAATAAAAGCTAGAAAAGAAAAGGGTAATTGTAATGAGATAAATTGTTTTACTTGTAAAACAAAAGTTCCCAAGTATTTTTAAAATTTTTGGAAGCTACTTGAACTTGATCACCTCTGCAATTTATATAATTTAAGAAAAGAGTCAATGTTATTGGTTTAGAGAATTGAGAACATATAAATTATTTAGATTTAAGAAAAGAGCAGTTTAGGCAGTACCTATACAAAATATCAAGAATCAAGATTTTTTGTTTCTCCTTGAGATTATGCAGGGAAGGAGCTAAAAGTAAATAAAAGAAGGTCTAAGATAGAAATAATTAATAAAAGACACTAAATAAAAGAGCCTATAATTATCCAAATTATAGACCACCAGCATCTAGAATCACGTTTAAAGTGTTTAATGTTAATATTTAGTGATATGTTCTTTGGTCTTTTCTCAATGCATGCAACCACGAAAGTTTTTCCAGTGAACACTAGAAATACAAATTCTTTTTCTGTCTCAGGAAATCCAAGTGGGGATGGATCCTTGTGGGGAGCTCAGATACCCATCTTATCTAGAAAGCAATGGAACACGGAGGTTTCCAGGGATTGGGGAGTTCCAATGCTATGGCAAGGTATATTTAGTAAATCAAAACTTAATTTGCTTATTTGCTTACTCTTTTTCCAAGTATGCCAAAATACAATTGTTTATGGGTGAACAGTCAATAGATTAATAGCCCATTAAGTTGATGTATTACATATAGGCCACTCACTAACTATAGATCACACAAAATAGCAATATAAAGTGATATAGACAATCCAACCATCAAAATATTGTACAAAATTAAAGTCATTGAGATAAGGTTGTTTGATGCCTAAACAAGCTTCAAAGTCGAAACAGTACATGAAGTCTTCACTTGGAGCATCTGCAGAAGCTATTGGGAAGAAA